AAGTGAATATTTTACAACCCTTCAACATCACTATTGTCATCCTAATTCTCCAGTCAGCCTGTAATATTATTGTATTAGTGTAAACTGATAGCTAGGCAGTGTAAATTATTCATCCTACTTATTTTCGTCTTGTCATTGTTTTAAAACCTTTGATTACTTAATGTGACTTTTATGACTTCTATACAAAATAAAGAGAACATAGAGAAAGCAGAGGTGATGAAGATTCTTGTCCAGAAGCAACAGAAACAACAACAACGGCCAAAAATCAGCATAAATTGGAGAAATCTGAAAGAAGCAACCTCGTTCACTTACCTACCTACCTATCTACCTGGGAAGCATCATTTCAACTACAGGCGAACAAAACTGATGCGGATATCAAAGCAGCGAGGATCGGGAAAGCAAGAGAACCTTTCGTTACTCCCAAGTTTGTGTGGGAGATCAACAAGATCCGGATTTTCAAGTCCAATGTGAAGTGGGTACTACAATACGTTCAGGGACATAGCGCCGCGCACGAACGCCACTGCAGACAAACTACAGACCTTCGTCAACACCTGTCTTGACTCATTACTACTCAATATCTGATGACCGGCGAGAAAAGATCAGCAACAGGGAGGGATCTTTGACAATGAGCAAACCAACCCTACAGGAACCAATTGTGCAACCAATATGCATTCAGGAAGAAATAAAGGTAGACTAGTTGGCCGTACTCTGAGAAAACAAACCATCAAGTGAGTGACATCACACACCAGTCCGTCGCTCGAGTGGAACCCGAATGAGAAGTGGTAAGTTGGTCGTCCGAATGTAGGGTGACATGGAGAAGACGGTCATGAGAAGAGGAGATGAAAACATGTAAACAGACGTGGAGCCAGGTTAAAACGTTGGCAGAGAACCGAACGTAATGTAGACGTGTGACTGAATCCCTATATTCCTGTAGGAGGTAGAGGAAACAAGCAAGTACAGAATAATTGGGAAACTGTTTTTACCATTAACTGTTTCTATGATTACTTAGCATTACTTTCTTACCTCCCTTGAAAGTCAGGAATTCGTATCAAACACGTTTCCTAATACAGGATAAACATAATTATGATGTGTGGTGTTCAAAATGTCAAATATCAATATAGACTTGTTATTGGAGAAACAACCGTAAAGAACTGCATTTGTGGACGCAGTTCGCTTTGTTTTTTACAAATAACAGTTTAACAAAAATTACGGAATTATTATGCGAATAATTCAGATTGGACTTTCATTTTAATAGAGGAAACGGTGAGTAAAAGAAAATCTTACACATTTTGCTAAATATAATTAATAAAGGATACCTCCATAAGAGTTAGTTTGTAGGAAGGGTCGGATTTGTTTTAAATGTGATCACAGGTAATATCAGTTAGAGAACTATAGCAACCACCGAGAGTACTGGACAACCGTTCCAACAGAAATTCGCTAGAATCCCAAACTAGGATGAAACAGGTGTCCCTTAATCCCTAGTGGTCTTCAATGCTTCTCTAACGGATACCAATCCCTGCTGAAATTCGAAAGGAAAATCTCTTGCTACTAGGATTAAATTATATGCAGTTTGGTTACATCCAACTGAAGAGTACCAAATAAATTGAAACGTGCAGTCTACTGCTAGCCTCTATGAGAAATATATACATTGTGATCTTATCACAGACAAAATCTGTGTATCTTTATATCGAGACTATTCTTTCAAGAGATACTGGTCATTTCAGTCGTGTAAATCATTGCAGGGAAGAACGGAGGATATTCATTTTATCAATACTATTATCAAATATTGGTTTGTAAAAATTTGGTTGATTAGTTTGAGGATTTCATCATGAGCTGACATCAGTCAGAGAACCATAAGAACACCGACAGGGAGTACTGGACGGCTGTTTCCTACACCCTAGTTTGGGACTATTCAGCTGTACAAATCCATCGCCAATGTCTGAACCCAGAGCCCTCTGGTTTAAAAGGCTAGTGAGCTCGTAGACCATTAAGCCACTCACTGGAACCCAATTCAATGTCCAACCAGTACATGAACTCCAAATTCTGCCAATCCCCAATATAGTGTGACCACTTCGCAATGTCTTCTTTGATAAATAATTGTCCTCACCTTCAACCTCCTGTACCCTATAGGTCATATCCCCCAGGTAACTGCCTGAATAGGCGCAGTTGCTGGTGAGCAGAAGTTAGAATGCATGAGCTGGTTGGCCATTAGATCGGGTCTTAGTAGCTTATTAGTCTACAAGCTAACTAGCCTTGAACATAGAATGTTGTGAGTTCGGACCCTGGAGGTGGATATGTACAGCTGAAGAGTCCCAAACTAGGATGTAGGAAACAGCCGTCCAGTACTCCCTGTAGGTCTCCCAATGTTTATTTAACCAATGTCAGCTGATGATGAAATCTTCCAACCAAATACTAATCACTTAGATTCAGCTGTTTATTGGTTTAGCTTTGTTTCGTTTACTTAGTAGAGATATCACTATGCACTTTCACATTGTTAAAAACAGATCATTTCTTTCTCTAAATTCTTGACACATACAAACTCACTAGTGGTGTGAATAAAATTCGCATTTGAAGCGGAAAATGAACAAGGAGAATTAGCTATGGTGTTAGATTGTAAAATAAAACGAATAGAAGAAATTAAACTGCACACTAATGTGTACAAAAAACCAACTCATTCTAACAGATATTTAAACTATAATTCATCTCATTCGTTAGCTGTTAAGCCAGGCTTAGTTAAGTGTTTAACAAACTAAGCAGTAGCACTAAGCGGCACAAAAAAAAGACCTAAATGGTGAAATAAAAGAGACAGAAGAGGCGTTGGTGTCAAATAAGTATCCTACAAAATTCATTAGGAAGATTAAAAAAGGCCAAAGGAAAAAGAAAAATAATTGTGAAACTAATAGTGATAACATAAATAAGAGAGAATATAAGGAGGGGAGATCTGAGAACCTACGTAGAATTCCGAATAAAGCCGGAATTAGGGCGGCATTCAAACCAGAGAACTCACTCAGAGACAAGCTCTGTAGGTTAAAGGACCCAGTTGACCCAATTAGATAAAAATAGACAAATTAGGGTGGGAGAGGGTTAAAATTCTAAAAAGTAATCTAGGTAGGTGGAGAGAGAGGTTGATTACTGAATCCTTGTTCATCGAGTCTACACCCAACACATGCAATAGGAATGTATCATCACTCATACTTGAAATATGGAAAATACTGCTACCGATAAAATCAAGCGAAAACCAAGTGAAATATAATGGAACTATATAAATGAAGTTATGAAGTCGTGTGCGTAATGCCTTGATATGATTATGAGCAGTAATAAATTGTGCTCGAAGCGTCATCAGTAAACATTACTGTATAACACTGTGAGACTTTATCAAAACAAATCTCACCCACAATGGAATTACACTATACCACAGGGCACAAGTTTATTTATATATCAACTGAACTAAATAATTAAAATAATATGTACTACTGAGAGATAATAATAGTGCGACACCAAAATGTTCCATCAGAATTACTTCCTATTGGGATTAGAATGATCTAAATATCAGACGGATATTTTTTATCGATTGGGCGTCAGTTAGTCAAGTGATACACAGTTTATAAAGTCAGTCTCAACCAAATAAAATGGCTGTTCATCGAAAAATGGAATCGAGCCAAAAGCAGTATTGTGAGTACTGTCTAGTCACCATTCCTCTAATTCATCTGTAAAGTTCTCTATATCAAATCATCCAGTCATAAATGTCAGACCTTGGCTCTGTATAAAGTAACCTTTTGATATATATTTAATACGTGTGCATTCAAGGGCTGTACTACACAATATTACAGTCAGTGTGGGAAAAAGGTTTTACACACGGTGAGATTGGTAAAAATGATCAACGCTCACACAGTCTAGTTGTATATGAAAATAATACAATATGAGAGCTCAAATTTTGCATAATAAAGAATTAGCTGACTTATTTCAGATCTGACAAGCAGTTGGTATTAGTTAGAGAATCATTCGAAAACCAGGGGATAAGAGGCAACTGTTTCCTCCTTCTTAGTTTAGGACCCATCAGCAGTACGAACCTAGGATCCTACAGTTACAGAGTAAGCCGGTGGACTAATCAGCCACTGGTATCTGATCCAATGACCAACCCATGAATTCTAACTTCTGCAAACTAACTCTTGCAAATTAATCTGATGCTCACAAGAAGAGGTTGACTAGAATTCTAGTTGGAAGTAGTGACTGACGGGATCCATCCGGTTAGGAATGAGGGTGAATACTCGCCAAATTAAATTAGCTGTCAGTGATCAAGCTAAAATAACGTAATAGTAGAATTTGGAATTCATGGGCTACTGAGTTAGATCCCAGCAGCCGAATGGTCTACCAGCTTGCCTTGTAACTATAGAAAGTTCTGGGTTTCGACCCCAGTAGATGGGCACCGCCGCAAAGAATCAAGCCAGGTATAAACAGCTGGCCTTAAGTGGTTCTCTAACTGACATCAGTCCCTGGTCAAACTTGAAACAAACCAGTGAATCGCTACAACTAACTCGTAATGACTGTTTATCATGTATCAAACGAAAGTCTCGATGAAATATAAAAGAGTGAATGCCTAAATTAAATCGATAAAATTGAATGGTTTAGTTAATGACAGGTTAATAACTTTCTTCTGATAGAATTCATCTACAAAACTTTCTTGGATGTTAAATATACACGCTAAATAAATAACTGTGCGTCGGTGGCATAGCGGCTAGGACGCTTGCCAACCATGCACGTGGTTCAGGGTTCGATCCCGGCCACTGACGCCCTCCTTTACCTCGTTAACCCAGAAATAATGCTGCTAAAGAGGAAAGGTTGGGCATGAGGCTAGCAACCCCAACCTGTAAAATAAAACACTGCTACAGAAACTTCAAGCCACTAGCTTGAAGCCCTATGTTCCACTGGGGAACGTGAAGGAAAAAAACTAACTACCACTTAGATAATAATGATAATAATAACTTCAATGATAAACTCACTTGGTATACAGTTGCAAAATGATGCCATACAATTAATCGAGAAATACGGTAACCAGCATACAGTGAATGAACCCAATATCACACCGAGTGTTATAGCCGCTTTATGCGCTTTATGTATTTGTTTATCTGAAGTATTCAATTGAATTTGTGGACGAGATAGCGTTGTCATAGCATTCGCATAAACATTAGACGACTTATTAAATGGGATACATAAACCCGGTAGACTATACTTTCTACGTGACGATTGTTCAAGAGATGAAAAAGAACTAGTCGATGTTTTATAGTGTACAGCTAGTGATTTATTCACTACAGAGAAACATCCATTTCTGGGTGTTATTTGCACAGAACGCAATGATGCGCCTAAATGTGATCTGGATAAACGTGGACGAAGTTTATATACATCAGAGGAAACAGTCAGTGAACTTCTAAGAATACTAGTTGAATCATAATTTGGATCCAAGAACATATTACGTGTACTTGATAGGGATTTTCGTTGGAACATAATATTTGGTGATGTATGTGATGTGTTTAATATCTGCTGTTGCTGGTGTTGGTGCTTACCATTGGTATTTTCACAAGACGACAAGTCACGTGAACAATTCGATGAATTCGGATAAAAATTCAATCTACTTATATGTTGTTTTGTTAGCAGAAATAAACGTGTATATATGATCACCATGAGGGTAAGTGGGATTACGAAACTGAATGTAGCGTTTGTCAGGGCATAAAAACAATCGATTTGATGAATACATGAAATATCCGTTTCTGGTGTAAAGAATGGATGTGCGACGGAGGCATCATTTGACGGCGCCACCGTTTCCACTGTTGCTGATGAGTAAAAAGGATGTTTTGTACAGTTTTCCTTTATAGCATCTGTTAATTTATCACCACCATGTTCAAATGTCCTGGTATTCGAGGCGCTGTCAGTAGTTGATGTTCTTGTACACTCTGTATAATTCGGTGTATGCCAATTTAGCTGGATTGGTAAAATAGCTATAAGAATCGATAGAAACCATAGACCAGACAGTATTGTAAACAAAAATCGTAATTTCAGCCGGCGGGAATATTTCAGCGGTGCTTTTATGTGTAAAAAACGATCGAATGCCATAACAACTAAATGTAATATAGTAGCAGTACAAAATAATTTATCTAAGGATAAAAAGATTTTCACCAAATCATCAGAAAATTTCTCCGGTTGTATAAGATTATACATAATACTAAAAGTCATAACACTGCATGAAAATAGAATATTTGTCAGCGATAATGAAATAAAGAAGACATTCGATCTATGCCTTAAATGTCGATCAATCAGCGCTACAAAGCATATCAGGGAATTGCCAAGGATGGTGCATATAACAATGACAATTGGTACAATTGTAGTCCATGTAAACCAGACATAATGAAGGCTTTCATTTGATGAATTTGTTAAGGCATTATCAGACGTTATTCTATGCTCATCATTATTTGAGATATAAGACGATGGTAGATCATGGAGTGTTTTCAGCGTCCATTTACATGTTTTACTCGGTGTTAACTTGATAATTTGTAAATGATGTTCGCTACTGTTCATTTAGTCTGCTTCATCTATATGCACTGATATGTGTGTGTGTGTGTAATTTATGATCCTTGTGAATAAAACTTTATTCCAATTTCGGATTATTATTATTATCAGTAGTATTGTTAATATTCTGTTTATTTCCCTATTTGTGTGGAAATTTTAAAAGCTAGTCTACTTGTCTGTAATCTGATTGGTTAGTAATGCTGACGACCAATCAATTTTGAGCTTTTACTAAGACACAGGAGATAAATGATGCTTACTGGTTAAAAGCGATTGCTTATGTTATGTAGCCAATATTAACTGAACAAGATTGGCGATTCACACATTTCAAGGTGATGAAATTCCAGTGTAGGTGCTTTCAGAAACCCTAAATTATTCTGGATCAGAGTCTCTGATCTACTTGTTATCATGAGTACTAATGAAGAAGGCGACAAATCACAGATGTGTAAAATTGTGTATGCTACTTAACTGATTCGCATGATTAGTTATATACCACAAACAGATCAAACAGTGGTGGTTGCTAGCCATATCGAAGTGATCCAAATACCGGACTGCAACTACTCAACCCAGACAATCAGTAGTATATAATTTTCTGTAATAAAAGTTGCTGTTCCAGATGAATTAAAATTAAAATTCACTGCATCACCAACATCATGTTGATAGATTACAGGCGACAGGGGTGTATTTAAGGTATCCATCACTATTTTTGTGTCTATCCTTCAATTTATGCGGGATTTCAATTTCATAAAAATTAAGAACACATGTGTCAGTTATGGAGATCTCCTCTGTCGTAAATTAACTTGAAAGCTGTACAGTTATTTAGTGGGGTTTATATGTGCAATAAAGATTGACAACAGACGACAGAAGTTAGTGTCCGTTAGTAAAAAAGCAAATTAGAATGAATAAGTAATAACTATGATCGAAAAAATTAGGAATAGTTCCTAATAATCACGAGGGTTGATTGGTAATGACATGGAGGATTGCATCATGATCTGAACCACTGGAAAACCTAGGAGTATACTGGACAGCTGTTTCCCCCGTCCTAGTTTTGTACTCTTCAGCAGTATCCACCACCACAAGGGCTCGAAACCAGGGCCCTGTAGTTACAAGACGAGTTCGTGGACCATTGGATCGGGTCCTAGTGGCTCAATGGTCTACGAGATCGCCTTGCAACCAGAAGGTCCTGGGTTCGAACCATGGTGGTGGGTTGGTGTATACTGATGAAGAGTCGCAAACTAGGAGGAAGCAGCTTTCCAGTTTCCCCGGGTTTTCTAGTGGTTCTCCAACTGATGTCAGCTCATGATGAAGTCCTCCAAACAATCAAACAAAATTCCCTACAAAACCAATACTTGAAGACAGGTAATTAGTTGATTGATAAAAGACATTAGAACACAAGGTTGGAAAATCAGTGATTAGTATTCCCTTGATTTCCAATAAAATATAGAGCTTCAACAACATATCTCCACCCTGTCCTATTATCTACCCTCCTCTTAAGCTGGCTGGTCCCCCGTTTGCCCATAACCCTCATCTCCTGTTTCTCATTCTCGTACTGACGACCCACTCGTCGCTTCCCGTTGGGATTCCACTCAAACGATGACCTTTATTGTACGTGATGTCATTCGATGGCCTTTACAGTGACGTATCCTCAATTCCATTTCCATTTTCTCCCATATATTTGTTAAGCGATCAGCTTTTGATTGGTTTGTTCTAATGTAGAGTTTCTTGTTAAAAATTCTTTCTGGCTAGCCGGCCATTCGATCTCAAGTATGGAGCCAGGGAAACGTTGCAGTTGTAGATAAAGGTTTGTAGTAGCATGTTGAAAATCCTATACGTGACTTCAACATCTTCATCCGTTCCGACTGCCTGTGTTTGAAACCGTGCTTCCTAATCGGATAAGTGAGGGAAGTAACCTCCTTCAAAAGTCTTCCATTTGAAAAACATAGAACGGTTTTTAAAGAGCTTATTATGCAGTAATTATTCAGAAAGACAGACAAGGGAGAAAGAAATAGAAGTAAAGCTAAGCCCATTGGTATAAAAACAGGGGTTGAATGACACGTTTTTCAAACACAAAGTTCCAGTTCATTCTTTCGGGATTCTTAAGACTTCAGCTGGATGAAGAAGATATAGGAAAAATCCTTTCGAACGACCTGGGTGTACTTTATTTATATATATATATATATATATATATTACTCTGAAAGAAATCTCTTCTGGTGCTGCATGATCAGAAGTAAGGATGTGCTTCAGAATTGAGCTATTGACAGCTGTACTCTGTCCTTTTCATAGCTATACTGATAGTTCTTCATAGCAGCATCTAGGCAATGTCCTGCTTGTTCGGCCTATGCGCTTCAACTGCCTGAATCACAAGTGGAGGGAAGAAGAAAAAATTAGAGTAAAACAAGAATTTCCAAGTATTGGATGTTGTAGAGAATTTATTTGATTGCTGAAGAGTCTCAAACTTAAACAAAACGGCTATCCAGTACTCCCTGCAGGTTTTCCAATGGTTTTCAAACTGATGTCAGCTCATAACGAAGTCCTCCAACCAATGAAACAAAATTCCCTACAAAACTAATGCTTGAAAATTAATTTGATGTTCGCTAGCGACGGGCCCATTCAGGCAGTTATCTGGGGTTCTAGTGGACCAGTGACCAGTACAGGTGAGGACAATCGCTCATCAAAGAAGACATTGCTAAATGGTCGCGCTATGTCATGCGCTGGCCACTGGATCAGGTCCCGGGGGCTTAATGGTCTTATATCTCGCTAGCCTTGTGGCCAGAAGGTCCTGTGCTCGAACTTCGGCGGTGTGTGCGTACTGCTGAAGAATGCCAAGGTAGGACGTCTGTCCAGTGGTCCCCGTCAGTTTTCCAATGGTTCTACAACTGTTATCAGTTCATGATGAAATCCTCCAACCAATAAAACAGAAATTCTTCTGAAGTGAATTCATATATCTTTCAACTCCGTTTTAGTTCTTGAGCATTCCACCTAGGTAACGATCAAAATACTTAGATGTGTAGATATTAGCGTGTCCTTGAAACATGCTTTCTAGCGTCCGTTTAGACAGAATACTTATCACTGTTTACCCTCTAGATTTAAAGCCACTGAATATATTCGTGGTGAATATCACACTTATACTGTTACTTCAGAGTTATTGAAAGATTTTGGTGACCAATGTGTAATTCACTGCAATGCATTTTGTACTTTGAAATGATTCATCCCTGATTTCTATATTTCTTCTGCTGAATTTCTAAAAATTTGGTGTTAATTTGAAATATAAGGACAAAAAATGGGTCAAAAAGCTGTCCAGTACCTTCCGCAGGTTTTCCAATGATTCTCTAACCAATTTCAAATCATGATGAAATCCTGTAGCCAATAAAACGTTCAGCGATGAGTCTCTTTTCAGCGGCGAATTCATTCACTCAGCTGTACAATCGCACAAAAATAAGAATTAGTAAAGGTTACTATTAACATCATACAAATGGTTCAGAAATGTGGTGAATAATCAAATTGTAACTAGGGGGTGTGGTGAACACCGGTAAGTAGTGACAAGGGTTGCGTAATATGAAATAGAATTTTGATAAAAGAGCATGGAGATACGTACCCAAAATATGAAAAGAGATGTTACTAAAATGTCAGGCGAACATTCAAAGAAAAGCATTATCAACAAAGTAGTAGAACTTGGAATTTTACCCAAGGTAGAAGGAGGGTGTGGATAAGCTTCTTCTGTGTACATGAATCAGGGTTTTCTATCCGAATCGCTAAAGCCACTGCAGTGTAAAGTATAGTACGGAAGCTTACTGTTTTCAGGCAGCTTGTGTCCACCTCGTCAGCTCATGATGAAATCCTGTAACCAATCAAATCCCTACATACCAACACTTGATTATCAGTGAGATGCTCACTAGGTAGGTAGGTAGTTACCTGGGGTTCTAGTGAGAAGTCGTGACCAGTAGGGTGCAGCAGGTCGGTTGTGAAGACAAAAACTCAGCAAAGACATTGGCTAGTGGTTGCACTATATCATGAATTGGCAGAAGGTAGAATTCATGGACTGGCCATTGGATCGGGTCCCAGTGGCTTAACGGTCTACGAGCTAGCTCGCTTAATTACCATCAGGTCCTGGGTTCAAATCCCGGTGAGTGCGTACTTTCCAATACTCCCGGGTTTTCCACTGGTTCTCTAACTAATGTCAGCTCATGAAGAAACCCTGTAACCTTGTAGATGGCTTTGAATAAATTATCTTTTACACACTGAGCGACCAGTGTTGAGCGTATGTTCAGTCCTACTACTCTTTATTGATCCACTGGTACCTTTTCGTAACCAAGCAATATATTGTTCCCTGACCCTTTTACATAAAACACGCATCGAAGGACCTATATATTTCTCTCGCTCCACATGAGCAAGTAAACTGGTAGAAGTGGTCAAATACGATAGTCAATCTTTTGAGTTTAGATACTCTCATGTTTAGGATGTCGGCCAGCAAGTCTCCCTTAAACGCCTTGTTCATATGGAGCATCTTCTTCGGCACAGAGGCGGGCTGCTATCTGTTGGTTTTCGACGTACAGACTTCTTACGGGAGAAGATAAGAGACGACATAATGTATGTTTAATAAGGAAAAAGCACACCATTTAGGTTCGACTAGGTCAAAGGAGAATAAACCGTGTTCTGATTAGTACACCAACTGATCCAACAAGGTTATTTTATCTCCTTAAAGTAGACTAAATCCAGATTTAAGAAATAAGCAATTTTATCTCTGTCTTAGCTTTTGGCCGATTCCTGTCAATCCGCTTCACGCCACAGACTCTTGCAAACAGACATTTTCCATTTATTTGGGGGGGGGGAGACATTTCAATGTTAACAGGTGAGATAAAGATAAAACAGGTAAAACAAATACCCTGATACGAAAAAAGGGTTGAACACTGCATTTAAAAATACATTAATTATAAAGAGTATTGAAAGAGATAAAAGATTTTCCGGTGTAAACATAGTTTTCACACTTGGACACACGAAGATTTCCCACGGGAAATGATGAAGATATATTTATTTCAGGCAACATTAATCCTTCAACATGTCTAATTTTTTCCCGCTTTAATCATGTCATACAATTCAAAAACCAATCAGTAACTGATTAATAATGTTTTACTTTTAGA